TTCTAGTTCAGAAATGTAATCATAAAGCTAATTTAAAAACTTACCTAGTGAGTTGCTAATAGAATCATCAACAATAGACAAATTTGGAAATTTTTTTTTTAAAGATTTTATTTATTTATTTGACAGAGAGAGACGCAGCAAGAGAGGGAACACAAGCAGGGGGAGTGGGAGAGCGAGAAGCAGGCTTCCCGCCGAGCGGGGAGCCCGACACGGGGGCTCGATCCCAGGATCCCGGGGTCATGACCTGAGCCGAAGGCAGATGCTTAACGACTGAGCCACCCAGACGCCCCGACAAATTTGGAAATTTAAAAAAATTTAAATTCAAACTGCTTGGCTTACACATTTAGGTTCTTAGGTATTTTTTTCTACTTTTAGACAATAATTTATTTTGTTGGGCAGTTTAAAATAGTTTTGATCTTGTAATTCACTCTGGATGTAAATATGTGTTACTGAGGGGTCTTTTCAAAAAACCTCTTTCAGAGCCTATTATTTCCTCTGAAGTAAAATACCTGTTGTAGAAGGCTTTTATGTTACCTATCAGGACTCCCAGAGGATACGGAGAATGACTGACACTAATCATAGACCCAACAGCGTTTAACCTGTCGAAGAATGTCCAGAGGGAAAGGTGGCTGGTAATTCCTGCTTCACCTCTGACAACTGTCAGGGGCTTTAGGATTTACTTTGACCTGGGCCATAAAATTGTTATTGCCAGAGAGGAAGATGGGGATAGCTGTCTTTTCACGAGAGAAGTTGAACAGAAAAGAAAAAATTGGGGAAGATGAGTTTTATCATTAATAATATTTGTAGCATTAATCGGTCTAAAGAAATAAATGAGTTCTATTTTCTAGGTTAGTGATTCTCAAATTTTTTTGGACTCACAATGACTTTACATTCATAAAAATTATTGAGAATCCCAACGTACCTTTGTTTATGTGGGTAGATTTTAAAACTGAGGTTTAAATACTCATTTCAAATCACAGTACCAAATCCATGACATGTTAATATATGAGTTATTTTATGAAGAATAGGTATATTTACAAAACAGAAAATGTAGAGAGAATGACATTGTTTTACATGTCTGCAAATCTCTTTAATGTGTTGCTTAATGGAAGACAGCTGGATTCTCATCTGCCTCTGCATTTTGCAACATTTGTTTTCATTGAAACATAAGAAGAAAGGATCTTACATAGATACGTAGTTGGAAAAGAGAGGAGTACATATGTCGCCATACAATGTTATTACAACACCACTATGTTCTCTATGCTGTACCTTTTATTACCATGACTTACTCATTCTTAATGGATCTTTTATTTGTATGTGATATCATAATATAGTGCGTTGGTTATTTGAAAAATATTAGTGTCTTGAGATTTCCAAGTGTTTCCAAACATTGAAACATTCCATTATATAATATCACATTCACATTTGTTAATACCACACTGCTGTTATCTGAAAAGTCTTTTAAGTATTAGGAAGCGCTCGAGCTCATGGTAGTGGATACAAGTTTTCCTAAATCCTAATTTTTACCTGTAAGTTTGAGTTTTATCCTTGTCGACAATACTTTTACTTATTTTCCTTGAAGTGACAAGGCTCACTTCATTCATTTTCAAGAAAATGTCTGACAAATGACCAAGTCTGAATAACCATAGTTTGTCTGGCAGTTCTTTCCAGTTAAAATGAAGTTTCATGGACCAGGTGACTAATTCAGTTTACAACTCACGCAATGGCCCAGATGCTTTTCCTCAAGAAATCCAGTGTGTGGGACTTTATCCGTGTTTCCCATTCTATCATTTCATCACACAGACTATTATAACGATGTCTACTCAAGGTTAGGATAGAATTAGTAATTTTTACTGCTTTATCAAGGATATTCTTAAGTGAAACTGACTTTTTTTTTTTTTTTCTGCTGATGCCTGAAGGTGAAAGATACAGTGACAGCACAGTTCACATCTACTGCCTTGATTTTTGCTGAGGCACCAGGAGTGTTACCCACCACTGCTTTTGTAACATCAGGGCAAATGTTAACACAGTTGTTGCTAACCTTGAGATTCAAAGAAACTATTCAATACTTCAAATATTTCAGCATCTTTTGTATTTTGTTGCCAAAGATTCACATAAAAGAGATCTTTGATGATTCATTGTGCTGATTAACAGATAAATATAAGCAAACAGTAAGCCCATCATTCTGGAGATTCATGCATTTCTCAGGCAAACTGTGATACTTCAGATGAGAGATCAGTTCAGTATCCTGTTGCAGCTTAATCTTTAATTGGATGACTTAACTGTATCATTGCAATGTGACAATGTGGTGATCTCATTTTCTGACTTTTTATCCAGTAGGCATTCAGCAATGTCATCTGTAAAACTCTCTCAGCTAATACATGTGCTTGTCATAATGAATCATTGAACACTACATCAAATACTAATGATATATTGGGTGTCTAGGTGCCTCAGTCGGTTAAGCATTTGCCTTCAGCTTGGGTCATGATCCCAGGGTCCTGGGATCAAGTCCCACATCAGACTCCCTGCTCTGCGGGGAGCCTGCTTCTCCCTCTCCCTCTGCTTGCCGCTCGCCCTGCTTGTGCTCTCTCTCTCTCTGTGTCAAATAAATAAATAAAATCCTAAAAAATAAATAAATAAATATTTGGTATAATTTGAAAATTGATATAAATATGCATGTATTACTTTATTTTTTTAAAGATTTTTTATTTATTTATTTGACAGAGAGAGAAACAGAGAGAGAGGGAACACAGGCAAGGGGAGTGAGAGAGGGAGAAGCAGGCTTCCCCCTGAGCAGGGAGCCCGATGCAGGGCTGGGTCCCAGGACCCCGGGATCATGACCTGAGCCGAAGGCAGATGCTTAATGACTGAGCCACCCAGGCGCCCTTTCTCTTGTGTTTCTGTGTAGGTTGCAAGGGAAACTTTGAGATTCAAAAGGAGAGTTTACTGAACGACAGTGAGGTTACAGACATTATAGCAGGAATAACCAGACACCACTACTAAGAACACAGTAGAAGCTGAGAACAAACTGAGTTAATTTCTGAAAACACACCTCTTTAAACACTAAACCTCTACCGTAGAAGTAGAACACACCAGAATATGCAAGCATGCATTCCATTAGCCAACAAAGTGATGATGTCATCACATATCATGTAGCTTCTGGAAAATTCCACCGTACATTCAAGAGTGTGAGAGTGAAAAAGGCAAATGATGTTTTAGCTTTACTATGGAAATAGTTTTGTTTTTTTTTTTTAACACAAGGACCTCCTGCAGGATTCCAAGGGGTCCCTTGTAGTCCCCGGCCATACTTGAAGAACTGCTGTTCTAGATATTTGAATCTACCCATCAAGGTGTTTTAAAAGGTATCTGTGAAAATCACTTTACATTTTTTACATTTTGCAATCCTAAAGCAGCTATGGTAATTCCATGTCAAGATCCCCCTCAACCAAGCCTTATTCTATGTCTTCTCATAAAGTTAATTTGTATCTTTTTGTCTGTCAGAATCATAAGGGCAAGGGTAAGGAAGTAGAAGAATGGTGGGCACTTTTATTTCATGAAATAAATTGATTAATTCATTCATTTATTTTATTTTATTTTTTAAAGATTTATTTATTTGACAGAGAGAGACACAGTGAGAGAGGGAACACAAGCAGGGGGAGTGGGAGAGGGAGAAGCAGGTTTCCGGAAGAGCAGGGAGCCCGATGTGGGGCTCGATCCCAGGACCCTGGAATCATGACCTGAGCCGAAGGCAGATGCTTAATGACTGAGTCACCCAGGCGCCCCTCATTTATTTATTTTAATTAGAGAAGAAAAGTTTAATCTTGGTTCAAGGCTAGGCCTTGTTGGCGTAGAACCATGTTCCTCATTCCTTGATCCAGTTCATGGCTGGAAGGAATGAAGATTTGGATAGGAACATCAGTCTTCTTTATCGAGAGTCTTGCTGCTCCTGCTTAACCGTGGGAAAACCTGGCTAGAGTGTGACAGAGACAAAGGTCTCAGCTTCTTGCATACCGGTTATAACTTTGGAGTATGCACTCCTCTTCCATCTTCCAGTTGAAACACCACTTACATCTCTAGAGCTCCAGCATCAAGTTTAATGTGATGATTAGTTGGGATTAAATTGCTTGTGCTATATGTCTTTGATTCTAAGATGCACATTTTGGCACATGTTAACAACACTGAAGTGAGAGTGTGTTTACATATGCAGGATACATCAGTTTAACTGGTGGGATTTCTCCCCCGTTTTTGTGAAATAGTATAAGTTTTTGTTCTAATTTTGAAATGTTATCTTCAAATAGATTTCTTTTTAAAAAAAAAGATTTATTTATTTATTTGAGTGGGTGGGGGGAGGGGCAGAGGGAGAGGGAAAGAATCCCAAGCAGACTCCGTGCTGAACCTGACATGGGGCTCGACCTCACAACCCTGAGATCATGACCTGAACTGAAACCAAGAGTCGGATGCTTAACCAATGAGTCACCCAGGCACCCTTCAAATATATTTCTTTTGATGGAATTACAAATGCCTGTTTCATGAGGAAGACTAGAATATATTTCTTCTTCTTTTTTTTTTTTTTAAAGATTCTATTTATTTATTTGAGAGAGAGAATGTGAGAGAGAGCACAAGAGGGGGGAGCGGGAGAGGGAGAAGCAGACTCCCCGCTGAGCAGGGAGCCCGATGCGGGACTCGATCCTGGGACTCCAGGATCATGACCTGAGCTGAAGGCAGTCACTCAACCAACTGAGCCACCCAGTCGCCCTAGAATATATTTCTTCTTTAATAGTTTCTATATTTTATATCTATTAAAAGATAGAATCTGGCAATAAATTATTATACATTTTTTTTCTGAAGTGTGTACTTCCACATTAAATACCTCATAGCAAATAGGAAATTAACATTAAATTATGTTCGTGTCAATTGTTTAAAAGTTTGCTTTCCTTTTTAAAAAATCTCTTTTGTATGTTTTAAATTTGATATTCAGTATTTAATTTTGTTCATAATAGGTTTATTTTAGGACAGTGGAACTTATAGAAGAGCCCATTGAAGGATCTCGAGGTCTGAGTTTCTACTTCAAAATTAATGGATTGCCCATATTTCTGAAAGGCTCGAACTGGATCCCAGCAGATTCATTCCAGGATCGAGTAACCTCTGACTTGTAAGTTATCATTTTTTGTTTCTTGTTTTTCTTTTTATTAACAGTCCCACAAAGCTAAAGAATTACTCATTTTTATTTTCTTTGGTTCCAGTGGAAGGAACTGAGAGGTAAGACAGAATTCTAGGATGATGGAAACTTTAGAATGGAAAGGATTTTTAAATCATATATTCCATTTTCATGAGCTATAGATAGTCTTAACAGCTAAATGACTTGAGACTGCTGAAACCATCCAATTTCTAGAAAACTGTTATATATTTCCTCTGGAGGAACAAGAAAATGACTAATGCACATTTTGGATAATCACTGAAAAAAATGGTTAAATTTGTTTTTTTTAAATTTTTCAAAGAATACCTTAAATATTTTTGTACATTCTTTTTAAAAAATGGAAACCCATATTTCCTTCTTCATTCTAAGCTATTTGTATATTCTTTTACTTTTATGTTAGTAAAAGGAACTAAAAAAGCTTTACAATATTAAATCTAGAAGAAAATTTAAAGTGCTTATCTGAAGCTTTGAGAATAGCACTTCATAAGAAAATAATATTTCCTGGGGCGCCTGGGTGGCTCAGTCGTTAAGCGTCTGCCTTCGGCTCAGGTCATGGTCCCAGGGTCCTGGGATCGAGCCCTGCATCGGGCTCCTTGCTCTGCGGGAAGCCTGCTTCTCCCTCTCCCACTCCCCCTACTTGTGCTCTCTCTCTCTGTCAAATAAATAAATAAAATCTTAAAAAAAAAAAAAGAAAGAAAATAATATTTCCTGATTGTGATTGTAAACTGTCTTTGTGATAGTAAAAATAAACTTTGTGAAGAGAAAATAAACACATTTAACTTATTTACATATGTATAAATATGCATTGTAGTATATTATTTGGTGTTTAGAATTTGCCGGAAGTTGTAGTAATTTGCTTTTACTTTAAACTGTATATATATGGTCTTGAATTTCATATGAAAATGAAATTATTCTCCAGACATAGACACAGATAATTTGCTGCCTCTTTTCCTTTTCATGTCCTGGCTCCTCTCATCTGGCTGGTTTGGGCAGTGACTTTTCAGTACAACTGGGCCAATTAGTATATCCGCTGAGGCACAATGCTCTGGGTCCTTGGCCAGCCAGTTATTGGGGGCTTCTTGGTTCCTCTCTGGACTCTGTTCTGGAAATGCAGGGTAGATGTTCTCAGAGTGGTTGGACATCATCCTGTGGGTGATGTGAATAGGAATTGGAAAAATCGGAAAGGAAATTTAATTTACTAGAGAAAGAAACATAGCCGGTACCCTACTTATGATGGTTTGATGTGATTTTTTGACTTTACCATGGTATAAAAAAGATACACATTCAGTAGAAGTTTTGCTTTGAATTTTGACTTTTGATCTTTTCCTGGACTAGCGCTATGTGGTACAGTAACCTCTTGTGATGTTGGGCAGTGGCAGAAGCCGAGGCCTCCAGTCAGCCATGCCATACTGAGGGTCAAAAACCGATACATTCACAACCATTCTGTGCCCATATACCCATTCTGTTTTTCACTTTCAGTACAGTATTCAATTACATGAGATATCAATACTTTATTATAAACTAGACTGTGTGTTACGGTTTTGTATAACTGTAGGCTACTATAAGTGTTCTGAGCACATCTAAGGCCGGTGAGGCTAAGCTAGGATGTTTGGTAGGTTAGGTGTATTAAATGCATTTTCGACTTACAATACTTTCAACTTACAATGATGAGCTAATTGAGATATAATCCCATTGTAAATTGAGGAAAATCTGCACTGGACTGGAGGAATTGAAAAAAGGAGGTAAGAGTAAGCCAGGTACTAATATGCAAACTTTGATTTTTGTCTTATAATTTGAAATGGTTGTATAAAATTAGCTCATACTTTCTAAGGTTTACAAATGTTTTCTTTTTCTATAAGAATAACTAAGAAAAAATTTAGTTTCAAAAACAGTATAATAACAGTGTGAATTTAGAAGGCAGAGAAAAGATATATAACCCACAATTTTCCAGTTTTGTTTATGTGGTTACAGTTATTGTGTATATAATTTTGTCTCACTTTCTTCACCTAACATTATATCCAAACCATCATAATTTTAGAACGTGTTTTTCTAAGAGATTTGAAACGTATTTATCAACCACCATGTGTGGTTTTTGTTTTTTTTTTTTAAGATTTTATTTATTTATGTGACACAGAGAGAGAGAGAACACAAGCAGGGGGAGCAGCAGGCAGAGGGAGAGGGAGAAGCAGACCCCCCGCTGAGCAGGGAGCCCCATATGGGGCTCGACGCAGGGCTCGATCCCAGGACCCTGGGATCGTGACCTGAGCTGAAGGCAGACGCTTAACCAACTGCGCTACCCAGGCGCCCCCATCATGTGTTTTTTAAATCTTTCTTAAACATCCCCAGATTTTCAAATTAACATTTGTTTTTAAATTTTCTTCTATAGGTTACGGCTCCTTTTGCAGTCTGCTGTGGATGCTAACATGAATACTCTCCGGGTTTGGGGAGGAGGAATTTATGAGCAGGATGAATTCTATAGACTCTGTGATGAACTAGGAATAATGGTGGGTAGTCGACAGCATTTTATTGATTGATATGTTACTATATCCTCACTTTGAGCTCCTGTGTTCTGAGTGGGTGCTATGGCTCATTCCTTCTTTTCTCAGAGCCAGGACTGATATTCCATTTTTTGCAGAGGAATAAATGACATCTTGCAAACCCAGAACCATAGCTGATGGTGAATATCATAATTATTTAATTATTTTTAAGTGGTAAACATTCTATATTTGTAATTTTCTTTTTGATATGAGGGTATGCATAAACATATTTAAAAATTTTAACTTTAAGGAGATCTAACAAGACCTAGAGAGAAGAAAAATCATAAAATTCAATGAAGAAAAGCTATGCTTAATATTGTTATTAAGTACTCCAAACATGTTTTGCATTGGTGAGGGTTAAGCACAGGAAATATAATCTTTTAGTTCTGGCATTACAGTTCTAAAATACAAAGCATTCCATAGAAGAATAGTAATTATAATATTGATAATGCTGATGGTCATGATAATGTGACAATATTCTATAATATTTATTGAGGACCAGGCATTGTTCTCAGTGCTCTGCATCTGTTATTTTGTTTCATCTTCATGCCCATCCTATGAAGTAGTTACTGCTGTTCTCCATCCCCATTTTACCGGTAAGGAAACTGACACATGGAGGAGAGGTGAAATAACCTGCCCAAAACCACACAGTGGGTATGTGGTGGAACCAAGTTTCTGACTCAGGTCGGCTGATTTGGGGCCTGTGCTCTTAACTACTGCATCAAAACAGCCTCTCTAGAAATGGACTTACGTGGGACGCCTGGGTGGCTCAGTCAGTTAAGCGTCTGACTCTTGATTTTGGCTCAGGTCCTGATCTCAGGGTCGTGAGATTGAGCCCTGCATCGTGCAGAGCCTGCTTGGGATTCTCTTTCTCTTCCTCTGAACCCCAGCTCACACACACACTCTCTCTGTCCCCTTCAAGAAAGGAAGGATGGAAAGAAGGAAAGAAGGAAGGAAGGAAGGAAGGAAGGAAGGAAGGAAGGAAGGAAGAGAAAGATCAACTTATGTGGTTTCATTATGAAAATGTCCATGTAGTAATCCTTTTGGCCATGAAAAGTTAATTATTTTATAAATAATCTGGTCCATCTCTCAATATCAAATTCCCAGTGAATATTAAAGTATTCAAGTGAGGAGGGGCTGGGGTAAGGTTCTTTTCGAATTTCACATTCCCCTCAACACACTCACTGTTTCCTTATTTGAATTCCCTTTCCTTCTCTTTCTTTCCTCCCTACTTAACATTTTCTCCTCTCGGGTCTCCCCCACAGTTTTGTGCAGTTCTGGAAAGTTGTGCGGTCCGTGTGAGAGCCTCTCCCACTGCCTCAATCATAGTAGTGCTCAAATGGTCACACTCATCAGGCTAACTTGTTTTTTCATTTGCCTGAAAGATAATTCCCAAAGTTCAGAATGAAGAATTTCTTTCTGTGTAATAAAGTCTATGGAAGTACTTTATTGCTTTTTACTGGTTTGACAGGTATGGCAGGATTTTATGTTTGCCTGTGCCCTTTATCCAACCGATCGGGACTTCATGAATTCAGTGAGAGCAGAAGTTGCTCACCAGGTATGTCATTACCATTCCAAGAAGAGGGAAAATGCTAATGTTTCATTTGCCTTTTGTTAAACCTCTCCTCATTTTGTTTTGTTTTTTGTTGTTGTTCTCTTTACTAAATCCCATGAAAATCACGGTTGGATAATTGACTTCCTAGGTGATTCCACCCAGTCTCATGGCTTTAACACCACCTCTGTGCTGATGACTTACACATTTATCCCCAGTTCTGACATCTCTGCTGAATTCCTGGTTCTTGTATCCAGCTGCCTAGTTGGCCCCTCTGCTTGGAGGTTTCATAGTCATCCCAAATGTAACATGTCTGAACCAAACTTGCATTACCTTCTCCCAACCTGCTTTTCCTGTAGTTTCCCCCACCTCAACAAATGGCAAAGTCAGTCTTTGCATTTCTAAGGTCAGAAATTTAAAGTGATTCTTGACTCCTTGATTTCTTTTGCATTCCATATGTACACACTTATATTTATAGATCTATAAGTGCAAGGAAGTGATTATAACCTAGCTCTGTCCACCGAAAAGGACTAGAACAACCTAATAATATTGTGTATCCTTCTATTGAAATAATTTTTCCCACTAACAGATGGGCTTCTTAGAGAAGTGGCTGATTCCAGGTCTGGGACAGGAAGTATAATAGATGACTACTTTGACATACAGATGACAAGAAAACGATCAAAGATATGTTAAAAGAACTTTGATGAAACTCTCACCAACCAAAAGTGGGACAATTTGAGATTCAATAAGGAAAAGAGTGTCCATGGATTGAAATCCAGAAAGCATGTTAAAATCCGTGATTTCATAGTTACAATGTCTGTGGATGGACATTTGCATGGAAAACCAAAAGAAATGCAAGGAAATGATTACTATAATACTCAAGATAGTGGTTACTGTTGGAAGCAGGAAGGGACTACAATTGGGAAGGAGTGCTTGAGGACTTCTGGGGCTCCCTTTCTTGATCTGGGTGGTGGTTACAAGGGTGATTGTGTTACAGTAATTTACTATTTCACAATTTGTTTTTTATATCTTTGTTTTACTTAAAAAAAAAAAGTTAAAAAAAAAAGGTTTAAAAAGTACAAATGAATCATCTCTTGCTCAGAGCCCTCCAGATAAAGATACTGTGCACTATCCTGTCTCTGTTGGCCTCCCTGGCCCCATCAGGCACCCTCTTCCTGTGCCATCTATGCTCTGGAAAACTTTCCCCCTCACCCTCCCTATGGACCACCTCTTGCATTTTCTTCTGGTACCTCTTACCTTGAGCATGAATTTTTCTGGGAAAAAAACCTTTCTATATTTGCAAGTCTAGATCACATCATTTGCCCTTTATGACCTGTACCACACTTTGACTTACTTGTTCAGTGTTTTGTTTCCCCTGCAAGTTTGTAATCTCCCTGCAGCCTAGGGGCTTGTTCCTCTCTGTATCCCCACTACTTGGCTGGGTTATTCGTCAGGAGGATAGATGGATAGATGGATGGATGAGCTTAAAAATATTAATTATAGTTGTGTAGGTTGCAAACATTTCGATTTTTTAAAATTTTTTCTCATACAAATAAAACATGGTCTCTATGTACCTTCGATTCTTTTATGTATTATTAAAGAGGAGGAGAGCTTTTTATGCAGACTTTGTTAAGATTTTAAAGTGAAGCTTCTCAAAAATTCTGGGTCAGTTTGAAGGGTATGTGTAGCACAGAGTCACTGGATCTTTTTGCCTCTTCAGTATTTGTGTTTTCAATAGCACCATAAACGTGCCAGTCCCAGTTGGTAGCAGTCGTCACTTACCTGGGCACGCACAGAGGCAAATAAAGGAAATAGCGTTCATAAGGCTGGTTTAGAAAAACACAAGGCTGTAATTTTTTTCAATTTAATTTTATTTTATTATGTTATGTTAGTCACCATGCAGTACATCATTAGTTTTTGATGTAGTGTTCCATGATTCATTGTTTTCATATAACACCCTGTGCTCCATGCAATATGTGCCCTCCTTAATACCCATCACCTGTAATTTTTAAGAATGAGATAAATCCCTTTAATGCATCCTTAATGCATCTCTGTTTCATGTAGGAGATACTTAGCATCTTGTTTTTTTGTTTTTTTTTTAAAGATTTTATTTATTTTTTAGAGAGCGAGCGAGAGAGAAACAGCATGAGAGGGGAGAGGGTCAGAGGGAGAAGCAG